TCTCTCTCTCTCTCTCTCTCTCTCTCTCTCTCTCTCTCCTCTCTCCATCCATGTGACCAAGCAGTCTCACACTCCTGCTGCCACAAGCAAGAGCTGCTCCCATGGCCATGCCTTCCCCATCCGGATGGACGACCCTCAGACTGTGAGCCACAATAAACCGTTCCTCCCTTAAGTTTCTTCCTGTCAGATATTTGAGAAATGTAACTAAAACGTTAGTTTAATGAACGTTTCATAGTCCCCATTTTGACAGCTGTCAAAAAGACAGAAATCCAAGCGTGGGCCACACTCCTGTCTAAACCCGCCAAAGACTCCACAGCACACTGTCTTTGTTTGGGCTCACATTCTTGGTGCAAGGTCACAGGCAGCATCTGGTCTTGTTGGCAGAGTCCAGAGGTGCTCCGAGCTTCCCACAGGCAGAGATAGGGCCCGGCTGGAAAGACCTAGCCATAGCAGGCTCACTCTCAAGATGCCCATTCACCCACTAAGCAGGAAAGGGTTAATCCACTAAGGAGCGCAGAGGGGAAACAGAATCCCCTTGCACTGCTCTCCTCTCACATTGGATGTTAGATTCCTCCTAAGTGTCAGAGGGGCACGCCGTGGTTATACTTATGGAATGCCTGCTCTGTCCCGTCTCCCCTCAGGACCCTTCCTGTGTGGCTCCTGCCCCACTCTGCCCCTCTCACTGCTCTATCAACCACACTGACCTGTTATTCCTGGAATACTGGCTCATTCCCATCCCAGGGCCTCTGCCCAAGCTGTTCCCTTTGCCCAAGCTCCCTTCCCATGCTCCCACGGCCTCTTATGCTCACGCACACCACATGTGAGAGCTCGCTTCTCCTGCCCCACCCTCCGCATCACCGCTGCAGGCTCCTCTATAGCCCAGGCGGGTTGCCCACTGGCTGCGGTTCTCATCTCCCTCGGTACCACAGACAGGAGTGTGCCTGCTTTAGTCTCCTTGCTGTGTCTGTGTCCCAGAGCTGCCGTGACAAAGCACCATGGGCAGGTGTCTGGAAGCCGTGTCCTTGTCCCCGCTACAGTCCTGGAGGCTAGGAGGCTGAGGTCTCGACGCTGGGTGAGGATATGGAATATGGGTTCTATTTTTTGGCCATTTGCCCTTCTCTTGAGATGCGTCTGTTAAATTCATTTGTTTTGTTTTGTTTTGTTTTGTTTTGTTGTTTTGTTTGAGACAGGGTCTTCCCATAACCCCAGCTAGCCTGGAACTTACTATGTTACTTACTAGTTCAGGCTGGCCTTGACCTCACAAAAATCTGCCTGCCCCTGCCTCCCAAGTGCTGGGATTAAAGGCCTGTGCCACAACACCTGGATCAGTTCATTTCTCCTTTATTTTTAAAAAAAGTTTATGTGTATGATTGTATTACCAGCATGTATGTAAGTGCACCTGTGTTGTGCAATGCCCATGGAAGTCAGAAGAGGGTGTCAGGTCCCCTAGAACTGGAGTTATGGATGGTTATTAGCTGCCATGTAGGTGCTGGGAATCGAACCAGGTCCTCTGCAAGAGCAGCCAGTGCTCTTAATCCCTGAGCCATCTCTCCAGCTCCTCAATTCACTTCTTTAAAAAAAGATTATATGTATGTGAATGCTTTGCCTGCATGTATTTTTGTGTATTACATGTGTGCCTGGTGCCTGTGGAGGCCAGAAGAGCGCATTGGACTCCTCCTGGAGTCACAGGTGGTTGTGAGCCACCATGTGGGTTCTGGGAACTGAATCCAGGTTCTCTGCAAGAGCAGCAAGTGCTCTCAACTGCTGATCCCTGTCCTCAGTCCCTCAATTCATTCTTACTGGGTTTTTTCGTGTTTAATATTTTGGGCTCTTCGTATAATGTAGCTATTAACCTGCTGTCAGATGTCCAGATGGCAGATTCTCTCCCATTCTGTGCGCAGTCTCTACTCTGTTAATCATTTCCTTTGCCGTACAGAGCTTTTAAAGGTCTTTCGGTTCTGGTTGTCAATTCCTGCTATTATTTTTCCTAGGCATCCGGAGTCCTTTTCAGAAAGATTTTGCTTATGCTAAAATCTTAAAACCCTTTCTATTTGTTTTCCTGCATCAATTCTAAAGTGTTTCAGGTCTTACATCAAGGTCTTTGATCCATTTTAAATGGGTTTCTGTGCAGGGCAAGAGATAGAGATCTAGTTTCATTCTTCTCTGTGTGGATATTCAGTTTCTCCAGAATGTGTGTTCAAAAGGATGTCTTTAACATATTTTTTAATCCTTTTTCAAAAGTCAGGTGGCTGGTGGCTGCATGGTTTTATTTCTAGGCTTTGTGTTCAATTCCACCAGTTTTGTTTGTGTTTGTGACAGTGCCATGCCATTTTTGTTACTATGGCTCTGTAGTATAATTTGAATGAAAGTATTGTGATACCCCCAGCATTGCTCTTTTTGCTCAGGATTGCTTTGGCTATTTGGAGTCTTGAGTGCTTCCATATGAATCTTGTGGTTTTTCTATTTCAGTGAAGAATGACATTGGATTTTAGTGGAGATTGCATTGACTACAAAGGGTACTTTCTGTAATCTAGCTGTCTTTCACAATATTAATTCTGCTGATCTGTGACCCCGGGAAGTCTTTGTACCTTCCAGGATCTTCTGGAATTTCTTTATTGAGTGTTTTAAAGTTTAGTTGTAAAGATCCTGAACCTCCTTGGTTAGGTTATTCCTGGGCATTTAACTTTTGGAGACTGTTGTGCATGGGACTATTTTCCTGGTTACTTGCTCATATGTTCATTATTGGTTTTATTAAAGGCTATTGTTTTAGATGTTAATTTTGTATCCTGCTACTTACTGAAACTGTTTATCAGGTCTAAGGGTTTCTGATGAAGTCTCTATGGTCTTTAAAACATTTTAAATTTATTTAAATTTCAAGTTAAAAATTTATTTAGGGTTTTTTTTTTCTAGCCTAGAACTTGCTATGTAGACCAGGTTGGCCTTGATCTCACAGAGATCTGCCTGCCTCTTCCTCCTGAGTGCTGGGATTAAATGCAGGTACCACCATACCTGGCTGTATTTTTTATTTTCGTATATATCAGTATTTTGCCTGCGTGTATGTAAGTGCACCGCATGTGTGCAATGGTTGAGGAGGTCAGAGAGGGTGTCAGATCCCCTAAAACTGGAGTTATGGATGGTTGTTAGCTGCCATGTGGGTGCTGGGAACTGAACCCAGGTCCTCTGCAAGAGCAGCCAGTGCTCCTAACCACTGAGTTATCTCTCCAGCACCTATTTTAATTTTTATTTGTGTATATGTATGTGTGTCTGTCTCTATCTCTGTGTCTGTATCTGTATGTATGTGCTGTGCATCTGTGTGTGTGTCTCTGTGTGTGTGTGTGCGCGCGCGCACATGTGTCCCAGTGTTCCATGGGGGTCAGAAGAGGGCCTTGGGTCCCTGGAGCTTGAGTTATGAGCAGTTGTGAGCCACCCAGCGTGAGTGTTGGGAACTTGCCATGGTTAGTTTTAATATCAACTTACTACAAACTAGGAGCAGCTGAGTAGGGAACCCCAATTGAGGAACTTTCTTAATTACTTTAATTGATGCAGGAAAACCCACCCCAGATGTGGTGGCACCTGCAGATAGCAGGCCAGATAAAAGGGCATGGTAGGAGGACGGTCATTCACCACTGCCTGCTGCTGCCGACTCCCTCTCTGGCATCAGAACCAGTTTCCAGGCTTCTACCACTCGCTGAGGGCCAGCGGCTCTCCAGGAATGTCTCAGGTTTTTAGCGCCAGATTGGGACTTCTGAAACACTCAGCCTCCTGGACTGAGCAACTACTGGGTTCTTGGCCTCTCCAGGATGAGACAGCCACTGTGGGACCAAGTCCTGCTTCTGAGGCACCACTCAGCATCGAGTACTGAGCAACTTACTGGGTTTTCAACCTCTTCAGTGTAAGAGACCCACTGTAGGACTAACTCCAGCTGCAGAGGCACCACTCAGCCTCAAGCACTGAGCAGCGACCTGGTTCACATCACCTGGCTTCAAGCACTGAGCAATGACCTGGTTCACACCACTCAGCCTCAAGCACTGAGCAACTACCTGGTTTGCAGCCTCTAGGGTGTGATTCAGCTGGTGTTACTATTGTGAAGTAAGTTGATTCATAAATTTATTGAACAGTTCTTTCCTCTTGGGCACCCTGACTAATACGGAACTGATCTTGGGTCCTCTGGAAGATCAGCCAACGCTCTAAGGTCATGTCGTCTACAGACAAGGGCATTTTGAGTTGTTTTCTTGTCTGCGTCACTTTTATTTCTCTCTCTTGCCTTATTGCTATGGCTAAGGATTCAAATGCTATATTGAGTATGCGTGGACTGTGAAGGCACCCTCGTTCCTGGTTTTAGGGCAAATGTTTCCCGTTTCCCCCACTCAGTACAGTGCTGGCTATCAGCTTGTCATATGTGGCCTTTATTATGTTGAGGTATATTGCTTCTCTGTGTCAAATATACTTTCTACATAGACTGGAATGACCTTACAATGCGCTATAAATTTCATTGATGTGCTGAGTTTCACTTATTGCATGTTGAATCACACTTGAACACCTGGAATTAAGCCAACCCTGCTCGGTGTATCATCTTTCTAATGTGCTTCTGTTGAGCGTGGTTTGCAACTACAATTGAGAACTTTGAATCTATGAAAATTGGCCTGTGGTTTTCTGTTGTGTCCTTATCTGGTTTTGGTGTCAGGGCAATACTGGCTTTGTAGAACAAGTTTGGGAGCACTCCTTTTGTTTCTGGGTTAAGGAATATCATGAGAATCATTGGTGTTAATTCTTTTTTTTAAATGCCTGGTGGAATTCAGTAGTGGATACATCTGGTAGTGAGCTTTTCTTTTTGGAAGACGCTTACTGATTCCATCTTGCTGCTGATTATAAGATCTACT